CACAGACCTCCCAATTAATATTGGTGCACCTACAATTGAGGAGATCAGTATGGCCATCAGACAAATCAAGAGCGGCAAAGCAGCAGGACCAGACAACATTCCAGCAGAGGCAATGAAAGCAGATGTAGGAGCGACTGCGAAAATATTTCACATTCTCTTCAAGAAGATTTGGGATGAGTATAGATGGATTTTCTACCCCAGCAGTTCACTCCGTTTCCAATAGGTCCAGGCTGGTACTCGACGACCCAGATTCGAAACCAAAACACAATAATTCTGGGAGAAAACGGTCTTTATTCAATATAAGATGGAAATACAAACAATTACCTAACTATTATTACACCTTCCAAATCCAATTTACCCTGGTGGGTATCCGTTTCTGGAAGAATAAGTGCTTCCAGTCCGAATTGCTACAGTATCAAATCCAAATATGACTGTAGCCATATTAAATATCAAATTCAAACAACATATGTACAGTTCAGAAGCAAACATAAAAAACTTCAATATAAGTACAAGATATAGAAATAATAACAATATACAATGATAAAATCTCAAAACGGAATCAAATAGAGTACCAAAATGTCAACAGAAAGAGTCAGTCATATCATAACACAAATATACATAAATGGAGGGATTTTCCAAAAAACAAAACATTCAAAAAAGATTCTACACTTATGATGTGTTAAACTGCAAAATCGTGCAAGGAGGACGTCTGAAAGATTCGTTCGAGGTGAAGACCGGTCTCATGCAAAGTTCCTTGCTCTCACTTTTTTCATTTCTCTAGGTGATCTATCATATCATGAAGAAGTTAACATTTGGAGGGGAGCACGGTATCCATTGGACAACTAGGATGAAGATAGACGATCTGGACTTCGCAGATGATCTGGCTGTTCTATGGAAAAGGCAACAGAAGATGCAAGAAATTATGACCAGTGCAGCAACAGCCTCAGCAGCAGCAGGTCTCAACACACATTAAGGGAAAAGCAAGATTCTCCAATACAACGCAATATTGGCCAGCCGAATCACTCTTGATGGAGATGACTTGGAGGACGTTAATACCTTTGCATACCTAGGCAGCATCATCGACAACCGAGGTGGATCGGATGCAGTTGTGGGGACGCGGATCGATAAAGCAAGGGCTGCGTTTCTAAAACTGAAGAACATTTCGAACTTAAAACAACTATCAACCAACACCAAAATCAGAATTTTCAATACCAATGTCAGGACAGTTCTAATGTATGGAGAGGAAACTTTGAGAACTACGAAAGCCATCATCCAGAAGAAACAAGTATTCATTAGCAGTTATCTACGCTAAATATTGAGCTTTCGTTGGCCACACTTTATCAGCAACAACCTACTTTGAGATAGAACATACAGAGGGTAGAAGGATTAAAATGAATCTGACTCGCAAAACACCAAAATGTAACTTACTCGTTGACTGTGGTGGTGTTTCGTTCTCTGAGATGAATGTTTTGGATGTGAAGCCTTCATTGTTCTTCTAAACAACATCATCAGCACAAGTTTCAGATGGAAATGAAGTATTCGAATTTCTCCACGTTCGACTTGTAGCTAGTTCTGCTAACCTCGATCTTGATTGGTTGCTGTTGACCTTAAACATGTCGTTGTTTCACCTTTGTTTTGATTGTATCGCCCTTTCGATCTGTTTCTTGATCCGATGTCACCTATGATTTTTCTGATCGGTCAATAAATTGGGTCAATGTCGATGCGTTTGTTGATTGCTGGTTGACCTGGGACCTGGGTCGACCTCGACCTAAACTTAGCAAGAGAAATTTCAAGGATATTAAATAATCCGTTGGATGAATCCAACTAATCCATTATGTCTGCTACACAACTCTTGGATCAACTCAATGGGTTTAAAATGGACAACGACGAAACGATGATACCCTTTGACATTACAGCCTTATTCACCTCAATAGAGCCAAGATTAATTAAGGAAACTCTTTCCCTTCTACTCATCAACGACACAAATCTGCAAAAATATACAAAGCGTCAGAGCTAAAGTCTGCTTGAACTCATCGATCTATGCTTAAAACGTATTTCCAATTCAACAACAGGGTCTACGAACAAACAGAAGGAACAACGATGGGATCACAAATATCAGGACTGACCGCGTGAGCTGTAATGTAGAGACTAGAAGCATCCATTTTACCAGTGATCAAGCCAGAAATGTTGGTTCGCTATCTGAACGGCACATCCATCGCTATCAAAAGTAACGAGCTGGAGAACATCTAGCATCGGATCAACAACGTCTTCGCGAACATCACATTCACTACGGAAAAGGAATCAAACAACAGTCCATCATTTTTAGACGTACTAATTACCAGAACTAACACAGGAAAACTCAAAACTCAAGTATTTCGGAAGCCAATCCACACAGACGTAATTCTCAACTTCGGTAGCAACAACCCAAGAACCCACAAAATCAGCTGCATACAGACTTTGTCCAAGAGAGCGAAGACACATTGCAGCACATACATAAAGCACTTAAACTAGGAATATCATCTTATGACTATCTTTCAAAAGGACGACTATCCGCGCCACTTCATTGAAAAGCATCAACCACAATCGTCAACAGCAGCGAAATCAAGTACACTAACCGATGAACGGATCGTCCTACCATACATAAAACAGATATCGGAGCATACAGCGCGACCACTGAAACCATTTGGAATAGGTGTGGTACACAAACCAACAGAATCACTTCAATCGATTCTATGTTGACCAAACGACAAAATGACAAAAGAAGAAAAACTAAATATAATCTACAAAATAAATTGCTTGGACTGTGAAAAACATTACGTAGGACAAAGTGGACGGCCTCTTCAGCTTTGTTTACGTGAACACCAATTAGCAGTCAAACACCTTGACAATTCTTCGCTTATATCAATACACACCGACAATTATGGACATACATTGGATTGGGACAGTGTGGAAATACTGGATAGGGGGAGGACAAAGAACATTAGAGAATTCTTAGAAGCTTGGCACTCAGGTCAGTCAGTAATAAAAAAACACATCGACATTGACCCAATTTATTGACCGATCAGAAAAATCATAGGTGACATCGGATCAAGAAACAGATCGAAAGGGCGATACAATCAAAACAAAGGTGAAACAACGACATGTTTAAGGTCAACAGCAACCAATCAAGATCGAGGTTAGCAGAACTAGCTACAAGTCGAACGTGGAGAAATTCGAATACTTCACTTCCATCTGAAACTTGTGCACTAATACGGAACATACTCTCCCTTCGAAGGTGCACACTGCTGCTGAACTAAACGCGTTTGTCAGGCAGCTTAAAAAGTCCTCATTTGCACTGATTCATCTGCACACGTAAACTCAATGACAATGGTCATACATTATAACTCTTTACACGTCTAGACTATAGTGAAATCAGCGCTGAGTTTACTTTTTTTCCTCCTCTCTGAACTGGCATAAAATTCTTCTTGGTTGGTTATATTTCCCCAAATAATTTTCGCTTGATATAGAGGGATTACTCAATGGGTCTTAAATGCTTAAAGCTTGTCTCAAAATGTTCATTTTTCACGACAGCAATTTACGGTACTGCATTCATGCGTAACCCATAGTTCATAAATTGTAGCAGCCTGATAGACTTGTGGTACGGAACTTAAATTAAGTGTTTTTCGTCAGGATGGGAAGTATAGGGCCTCAAATAGGCCATAACAATAATTTTAAAGGAACCCAACATCAAAATAGGAGGAATAAAGAGCACTAATAGTGGGGGCAATGACTGAAATCCACCAATGTTGATGGGGCAGAATACGGATTGCTTTTTGCTGTTTTTGATTGGTGACGAGACTAATAAGTGATATCGAAGTTGATCTCACACACCTGCTACTCCATATAACCATATTTCCAATTGTGTCCTACCAAGACAGCCTGCAACTGGCTTACAGGCATTTACAGTATGATTTCGGTTTGCGCTTGATGAAAAATAGACTGACACTAAAAAAAAATAGTTATCAATGTTTTTCACAAACTTCACCTTCCCTGCTGCACCTTTAACTTTAAAAACTATAGTTCCAGAATCTTAGTTCAACTTTTATTCCACTATTCGAACTGTATACAACTAGATACACGTCACAGCTCTCTGTTCTTTACCTTTCTATTCACTAGTTTAAGGGCTGTCTTACTGCAATTTATTTTAATTTTAGCAGGTTGAATGAGTTCTGTCTACTGGCCTACCATTACTTTATCTAATCCGCCATGAACGGTTAACGATTCTCTAGTCATATTCCTATCGCCTAACTGCTCTTTATTCCTGATCTCCTTTGTTTTTCTTCAGAACCCGAACAGCTATGAATAGTCATGAATCTTCCTATACGCAACGCATACCTTATGAACGAGTACTTCAAGACCACAACCTATACCAGGCCCCTTTGAATCGGCACTTTCTACCAGGTATGAACTTCGTAACTTGTCTCATTACACAAATACTCTGAAAGTAAATCTTCTTAAACAGCATCTCGTGACTCACACCGGAATTATGAATTTTGCTGGTTAACTAACCTACTTGTGATCACTTGTTAGAAATTTCATCGCATCAGATTGAAAATATCTGTGGAATGGCGTGAACTGAGAAAACTATTACAGTAAATATGATAGTATTTGTAAGAATTCGATCTAGCCTGTAAACCGGCGAGCATCATGTAACACACTGCTGTTTAGTAATAGGTATCATTAACACAAAATATCGAGAATAATATCGAAACAACAAGAAGCAGTCTCACAAAAACAACTGGTTTATACTAAATCATGAAAAAGGTATTGGATATTGGAACCGTACCCGCATGTCCGGTCTTAATATGATGAATTTTAATGGAATAAGACATAACCACAATCCGTTACTTATTGACCCCTTATTAAAAAGCATAGATATTGTTTTCATATGCTTGTTGATATTTGTGAGGGTACTTTGTTTTATTTTATTCACGAAGTACCTAGCGCCTTTTCGTATCTTAGTAACAGTCAGGTCGAAATGTCTTTCCGTGAAATGCGGTTATTTACTGAGATGATGCGTTCCTTGGGATACCCTCGTGTCATATCCCTAGAAAATTTCCGAACTCCAAATTTCCCTTTGATTGCTGAAATCCTCAGATGGTTAGTTCTCCGGTATGACTCTCATGTTGACTTACCATCGCGCCTTGACTCGGAACAAGATCGCGTTTTGTTTATAAAGGTAGTAACACACTTGATTTTCACAAAAGCATGTGTCAAACTAAACAGTAAAAAGCTATATCAGGCAGATGGATTTGCCGTAAGGGAACTTATGAAAATAACCAAGATCTTATATGAAGCAATGCAAAATAGTAATGCCGAGTCAAAAGATGAGACGAACCCTTTAAATGTTACGGAGGTCTTCGATTCTGGTAAGGTGAGTAGTCCATAATATGTTAGTATGACTAAAAATGTATATATTTATACGTAATCTTATCAGCTAATTCATGTCTTAACACGCTGAGGATTTTGATCTACAAAGCCATAATAGAAATGTTGATTTATTCTCAACTAAGTTATTAGACAGTCTTAGGCATATTTAAAGGTCTAAAATAGGTTTGTTGCTTAAGAGCGATCTTGTTTAAATCAGTTCTCGATTGCACAAATCCTCGGTAAATTGATCAGAAATTTTTAGTATCCCTCTAATTTTTTTGCTTTAATAGACGAGACAAATTAGAATTATTGGTGCGAATTTCTCATCGAGCAGTCTCAAAATTCTGATCAAGTAACCTCTGGTTCTAACATATGACAAGGTAAATAGGTTTAGTTTAGTCAGTCTTTTGTCGTCTGGAATCGATGTGATTACAGAAATCAGCTAAGTTGCAATTTTTAGCATAAATGCTACATCTAACTATCATTTTTCGACAGGGACAGACTGCTCGTGTACATTAATCAAGTTTATGATAATGTAATACCATGGTGGCCCCAAAACTGTTCCTTGAGACATACCGCTAATCACCATTTCTTTGCTAAACAACTCAGAGTTAACCCGTACTATTTGTTGACGCAAAAATGTGAAATCTTTAATCCACATGAGTAGGTTGCCTCCGATCCCGATAACACTTAAAGTAAATAAAAACAGGTCGTGAGGGACTTTGTCAAACGTCTTCCTAAAGCCAATGAAGACCGCATCTATAAGTAGCTATTGGTTTTTAAGAACATGACAACATTTGTAAGCAATTAATGGGTTCATCAGATATGAATAACCCGTTCAGAGCCGTGCAGCTTTTCATAGATAATTTTGTCATCATATAATAAATTTAAGAATACCCTTTTCTAAGACTTAAATACTTAAGTTTGTTGTATTATCGGAGAGTTCCCGGGTTTGTCTCGTACCTGTTTTTAAGATAGGACTTATGAAACTCTTCCAGTCTTTAAGTGACCTACCTGGATTACAGATAGATTACGAGATACGAGCACATCAGATAATCGAGGATGCACCTCAGTGAGTCTCATCGGTTTACCCACATGAAGCCCATTTAACAGCCCATAGACCTGAAGTTCCTTAATGGAAATCTATCAGTTAGTAAGGAAACCAGAGAACATACGTGATTAACAATAACTGACCCTCACTAAAGATGTAGTACTACTATCTCCCCATGATTTCGAGATGCCGCCAAATATAAGCGTTTTGGATATTCTATAGTTTCCTTAAGAAGCCTTCTTCATAAAATCTTCTACTTGTGAAGGATTGGGACACAAGTATTTCGGGCTTTCCGATATTGAGATTTTATTTCTGCAGTGCCCACTGTCTCAAACCTCTCTCATATTCTTTCCCTTTTAAAGCGAAGGAAGTAAATTTCCCTACTCAATAACGGTGGGGAGGTTTTTGGACTACTTGGCGTAATCTAAGAGACATGCATCTATGTAGAGATTTTAAATTATTCCCAAGCCGTTTGAATAAGAGATTCTGATTCTTTTGTCTAGCCTCTTGAGGACGCTCAATGTACAGACGTAAAAATATTATATTCCTAGTGAGCATATTTACTACTACTCCTTTACGCTTTTTGTTCCATCGGCTACGAGGTTATGATTTCGAGACCAATTTCTTAATTATCCACAAACTGAGTGATTACATACTAATTGATACTCTATCTGCAAACCTAGCTGCGGCTGCTGTTTGAGCAAGCTCTAATCATTCTTGTAACAGATCCGGAGAGAATAAAACTGGTTTCCTGATGCTCAAAGTGGCTTTGGCATCATTTTCTTTCAAGGTCTCACCACCCAAAAGTTTTGAGATTCCAAGGTCCCGTTTATCATTATTTAATCTAAGTTTTAGTCCTTTTACAATTTATCTTTTTTCCATACGACCCACAAAGAACAAGTCTTTATGGTCAGAAACTCCCTATCCCCTCGGTTTGTTTCCATTGCGAGATTCAAATGTCACTTATAGAAGCCTGGTATGGATTTTTTTTGAGTCTTTTCGGCAGCCCGTTTTACAAACCTTCAGCAAGATAACCTTAGAGATACCTAAAACTATTAGCAAGTTGCGTGAACCTATTGTCAATCCAATGAAATACTGAGAGTTCTGGGCTTAGAGCTCTTGCTCTCTTGGACTCTGCTAATGCGGTATAGCAACCTCAGCTCACGTACGTACGTACGAAGTTCTACATTATAATTGACTGACTGACTGTCACCATTATCAGCCTTCGACTTATTGGCCAAGGTTAAGAAGACCGTCTTGACATTTTATCGTTTCTCATTCGTTATTTACATCCATTAATCAGCTTTCAGTGGGGTAATTACAATTGTATTAGACTCATTGTAAGATACTTAGTGATTGTCAACGACTTCTGTGGTAAGGTTTTAACTTTTGTTGCTTTTCCTGATGGAGATAGACCTAGACTTAGAGTTGGGTTTTCTAAGGAATTCTTGGTTTCTGGCACTTGTAAAGCGAGGCACTGTAGGAACCTGCATTTTTATTTCTTATTCCTCGAAGACCTCTTTGACATGGGCCTTCTTTCATCCCGTATAAGTCAGTCGACTATGAGCCTACTTGAGATGACTGCACATCGATTCAGGTATCGACAAAGCAAGCATTTTTGAATTCATTTGGGTTGCGCTTGCTAATTTTCTTTCTAGTAGTGTTCACCATCTAATTGGCTTCTAGTAGCAAGCTCTCTGTGTCCAAGTAAATGCATCTTTGTTTATTTCTGAGACTTTTTGTAAACACTTGCATTTCTAATTATAGTGCTTGAATATGGTTACAAGTGAATTGTCGGCTTACTGTCTTGCCTTCAGATTTCTAATAATTGTGACAGTAAACGAAATCAATTGCTGCTTAACTCTTGAATAGTTTTTTAGTGATTAAAGTTTGTTAATAATTAGTTGTATATAAGCTTTACTGCTTTATTGTTTGTGTTTTATACACCATACAACTGGTTTAATATCCAGAACCGATTCCTTTTTGTCTATACATCATGAAAATAGTGACTTGTGAACTTTACTCATATGCACTTAAACAAAGCACTCGAAAGTATCCAGACTAGTGACACTAGTTATTAGCTGAACAGAGTTGCATTGGTTTACAAGTATGAACGAAACAGAAGTGGGTCAGAAGCAATGTGTTCTATCATAAATTACATAAATCTCTGTACACTTTAGAAGTAACCTTCAGGTGTATCTATAAACTTAGGTCTCGACCGTAGCTGCTACCTTGATGTGGTGGTCGGGATTGATTATCGTGATAATCCAACCGAGCTATATTGACTGGAACATATGTTTTTGTAGGTTATACCATGCCAGGCAGGTCGATTGGAGAACGATAAGACTAAAGGCGGCTACTCAAGGTCTGAGGGCAAAGTTGTACTGCTGAATGTGGAGCGATGTGACAACAGTAAGGTGATTCCCTCGGACAACCAGCATCTGCATCGATGCTACCTTCCGTCTCCGACGGTTTGGCCGTCAGAAGTGCTGTGCATGAACGGCTTCAAGCAGCTATTCCTTCGGCTCTGTGGTCATGCTCCCAGGTCTGTAAGACCGACGCCAATCTACCTTCCTTTTCGTTCCTCAAGAAACAACATTTCAAGGTGCGGGCAGCCGGGAAGTCGCACCCGCCCTCATTCCCGTAACAGTACACGAGACCAAATCATTCATACACCTAATAACACTCTTATCTCCACTATCAACTCTCCTTTCATTCCTTTATTACCTCGCGCCGCTGGTGCAAACGTTTTAAGTCCACAAAACGTTATTCCTGGTGTCCTGAAACCCCGTTCTAAACAACATGTAGGAGCTTTCAATGTTTATTGTCTCTGCCTACGCTCCCACTGACCGCAGTTCAGATGATATAAAAGATGAGTTTAACAAAAACCTCTCGGACCTTCAAAATGTTATGCGCTGTGATAAAGTAATAGTAGCAGAAGTAAGTGGACTAAGTAAAAAGCTAAGAAATCTGGGTGGATCTTATGGCGTTGCGACACGTAGAACAGATAATAGCGACCTTCTGCTGCAACTGTGCTCAGATGACCGCCTATTTCTTGCAAACACTAACTTTAAGCACAAGGAAAAACATGCCACGTTCAAAGTCGTCCCAAAACTGCACCCAACTGGATCACATCGCCATCAGCCACCGATGGAGGGGTTCAATAGAGGACTGTCGCTTATTCTGGAGCACAAGTTTAGATTTAGACCATGCTCTAGTGCGATAGCATATTTGTTTGGACCTTACTGGACGTAGAAAAAACACCGCAAACAAACCTCTCAGGGTTCTACTTAATGATAACAAAGCTAAGAATATATTTCAGGAACAATTAGAAAAACAGTTAGATCGCCAGCCATGTAATAAGTGATGCTCATACTAATGCAGCTTGGAATGATATCCAAAAGGCTGTGTAAAAAGCAGTGATATCTGCTAGCAAGACAAACCGTAAGGTTAGGAAGAAGCCGTGGATTTCACTAGCATCTACTGAACTGATAGATGCTCAAAAACTCATCCAATCTGGCTCTGAGTACGATGAAGAGCAAAGTCAGCTTAAGCGCAGGCTGATAAAAAGCCTACGCAATGATCGCGAACAGTGGTGGGTAGAGAGAGCAAGAGCGATGGAAAAGGCAGCAATGATAGGTAACAGTAGACATCTGTTCCACCTTATCATGGAAGCAGGTCTTAGAAACCCATCTGTTAGCGAAACAATCTCGGAAAAGGATGGCTGTATCATTCATTCTCAACCCAGGAAATCGGGTCGATGGGCGGAACACTTCAGGGATCAATTCAACTGGCCTTCAGTCACACTTCGGTTGCCCACGATCTCTAGCCATCCTGAACGACAAATCGAAGTAAGTCCTCCGAGTCTTTATGAAGTTGAAAAAGCTATAGGAAATCTGAAGTGAGCGAGAGCAGTAGGCTTTGACTGGCTTACTCCTGAAATTTTTAAGGATGGTGGTCCAGTTCTAACAATTAGATTGACTGAGATCTTAGGTAGAATCTAAGAACTGGGCATAATCCCATCTGACTGGTCTCAATCCCTTATTGTCCCAATGTATAAGAAAGGACAAAACTACTCTTGTGAAAATCAGAGAGGAATCAGTCTTACTGATATAGTATCTGAAATATTGGCCTCGATAATACTGAGACGCCTGACTAGAGCTCGTGAAGAGCAAATTAGGGAAAACCAGGTTGATTTCCTACCTGGATATGATTGTACAGACTAGACATTCACATTAGACCACTCCTAGAACACAACACACGTTCAGACGTCCGACAGTAGTAGTATTTCTAGACCTTAAAGCGGCATTTGATTGTGTCGATCGTGAGGGTTCTGTGGCAGCTTGTCATTGACAGTGGTACAGAGGAAGTGCATTAGCCTTAGTGAACCGTAATCGGAATTGATTACTTCCATTGCTATTCGTCAGGAATATTCACCTCCTCCATTCTTTTTCAACTTTGCTTTTAAAGTTAACATTATATTCGTCTGACTTTTCACGAGTGGACATTCTAACAGGAGACTTGGTTATTGACTTAGAATATGCTGATGACATAGTGCCATTCGGTGAAGACGCTGACAAAATGCAGTCTTCTGACTGCCCTAAGCAACAATGCAAGCATGTTTGGGATGCGGTTTTCCTCCTCGAAATGCAAAATGTTGTTTCAGGATTGGCTTGCATCGGCACCGGAACAAGTGATAGTGGGGGAAGCAGTTAGGCGTGTTGACCGCTTTACTTATCTCGGGAGTCTCATCAGTGCTGATGTCCTGGTGAATGACGAAATCTCAGCAAGGATACAGAACGCTCGATTGGCTTTTACCAACTTACGTCATGTATGGTGTAGACGAGATATCCGTTTGTTAACCAAAGAACGAGTGTACTGTGCATCATTTTGCTACATTCTACTGTATGGATGCGAAACACGGCCGGTCAGAGTTGAGGATTTTCTTAGGTTATTAGTATTGGATCATAGGTGTCTTCGAAGTATTGTTCGAGTATTCTGGGAGAATGGAGAAAGTAAAGCAGCTGTTAAGAAACGAGTACTATGTAGGGAAGGTAAATCAATTGACGAACTATTGAGACTTCATCAGTTGAGGTGGTTGCAACATGTGTTATGCCCATGTGTATGCCCAACCGCCGACTGTCTTGACGAGACATGTTTTGTGGCGTGGGGGTAGGTTGGAAGAAAGCTGGTGGTGGCCAAACTAAAACATGGCAGAAATCCATGAAGTCACTGACAATTGGACTGAGTCATGTTGGTACGTGTCGATTACCTGGTTGTGGTCCGCGAGACGAAAGTTACCCATGGTTAGAGACCCTGAACGATATGACTCGAAATCGTTAGTAGTTACGCAGGTGCATCCACTGTTTGTGTTCTCTCGAAGTCTAATATTCAGAATTCCTCACCACCTCTATCTTTTTATTTCTAAATTTACTTTACTGAACTATACTTCTTGTATAATATCTTCGAACCCTAATTTCTCCGATTACTGCCAATACTTCTACACCTCTACTACTATGGGATTTGAATTGACAATTGAGTTTGTGTTAATGTGGTATGGCAACCTGAACTTATGTACTGATGTACGAAGTTGTACGTTGTAACTGACTGAATGATAAACATGCGTGTATCTGCGGTAGCAAGTATATCGGAAAACTAGAGAAGAAAGTCTCAACTAGGATTTCTAAGCAAACTTCCATCACTATGTACCTAAAAAAGGACGAAGTCTCCAAAGTACAGTCGTCAGGTATGTTTTGGATTGTTGACAAAAAAAAAATTGAATTCTTGGTTTTAAAATAAAAAGAAAAACGAACAAACAACACAGCGCTTCTGATCTGACCGATTTGGTACGTACGTACGAAGTTCTATGCTGTTGTTGATTGACTGACTTCTGACCTGACCGATGCATATACAGATGACAAATGTAATTAGTATTTCTCTGCCGTGTTCATTGAGTGTCTATCAAATAACTTCCATTAATTCCTCACTCTTCCTTCAATGTTTTCTTATCATGTTGAGTGATTGTGCTATTACTGCATTACTCTCATATAAGCTATTTTATCTTGGTTCTGATTAAACAGTATCTATAACACCTATTCTCATCTGTACCACTTCTTTCCCGAGATATTAATACATATCGGTTTTGACTTTACTGATTTACTTCGATTGCTGCCTGTTCTTTATCTTCCTATGAACATTCTGAACATGAATGTGAACTCCATAAATTGACGTATGTTAAACATATCTTTAATGCCATCATTGTAATTCTAATCCTTATGCAGCTAATCAGGAAGAGTAAAATAAAATGCGTTCATTTTATTCCGCATGCTTTGTTTTTTGCTTGCCTTTGCTACATTTATGAAGGGATCTGATTGCATAAAATTTTTATTTCTATTTCAGGAGCTTAACGTCTATACGAAACTGCTCACAAACTTTGTAGAATGTCGCTTTACTTGTAATTCGTTGAATTACAAGGAATAATTTTTTTCAGCGTTTTCTCATAATTAATTACAAAAGACGAACATGTTTCCATGGGTATCACAATGATTAACAGAGTTGATTAAAAATCACTTGGTTGTTATTATAGCCGTAAAAAAAAGCTAAAAATTCCCGTCTAGAAGCTTGTTTTATTCACAAGATTCGTAAATAATAATTTTCAAAATTGTTATCATTCAAGTGAAGTGTATTTTTTCTCATTCCCTAGGTTAAACAACTTCAAGAGGCTAGGAATTTATGCAGTCAACTTGCATCCTCTGGTGCTTCATTAAATTCATTATTAAATAAAGAAATCGATATTAGAGATGTACGTGATACTTCTTTACGACGTCAAATAGATAGAGAATATGTTGAGAAATCTGTAAAAATCGCTATCAATGCAATCAATGGTCAAATTGAAAAAACGCATTCATCACTTGTCAATATTACTGCCGATGAAAATAATTTAGATGTAAAAATTGAAAAGAAACGCAGTGAATTAGAACGGAATCGCAAACGCTTAACAACATTACAGTCTGTCCGACCTGTTTATATGGAAGAGTATGAACAGCTAGAAGAAGAATTATCTTCACTTTATACCATATACTTGACAAAATTTCGTAATCTAGCATTCTTAGAAAGTCAATATGAGTGCCTTCTGGATACTATTAATCAAAATAATGAGGATACAGAAGTTACTCTTAAAACTATAGCTGAACAAGTGAAAGCATATTCGGTAGGTAAGAATGGCTACCAGTTGTGTGCGTGTGTATATACGTGAATACAGTTTGTTGTAAATATTAAGTATGTATTTGAATTTCGTTCAATCATTTTATGATTTCTTAGCATGAGAATATAATGAAATAAGCTTATCAATGTATATTTATCTGTTATATATATATATATATATACTCTGTGAAATTGATATTAAAATGAATCAAAATCGAAACTAAGACACCATGTTTGTGAGTTGAAATTTATTCAAATCAATAAAGAGCCAGTAGCAAATGTAATAGTAGAATGATTATTTGAAGTTTATTTTTTAAATTGAGCGGAAAATCGCTAATATTCACAAAGCATACGAAGACTATAAGAAATCGACAGAACTATTTAACATTAGGATAAATATCGTTTGGCATGGATTTTTAACTGGTCATCAGTGATTAACAACATGTTACATGTATCACGTTACATCATGTCTGAGGTTAAAGTTAACATTCGGGACTGAACTTATCACACTGATGATTAGTGAATAAGTGGAATGTTCTTTTGTATGCATATATCTCGTTAAGCTTTAAGGGACTCAAAAAAATAATTAGTCATTTATGCTGAAACAGTCTATTAGAGTGAAAAAATGTACATTTCATATTTCTTACTACTTAAATTCGGAACATATCTATAGCATGAACTACCCAACATCATAATTTGAGATATTGCTACTGAGCTTCTCCGTTTCAAACGATTTCTTATGGAATTGGATCGGATTCGCTACTGTTATAACGATGTTTGATGCAATATTCATCAACTTCAACAGTACAATCAAAAAAAAATTTGTCTAACCTACGGTAGCCGGGTTTTATTTTTTTTTCACACTCAGCTTCAGCCATTGATTCTGGTCACATCAAAAATCAGTATGTTTGCTGACTTTAATTTAGGAAGATTTAATAGCTTTTTGATAATTTTGTAATAGAAGTAGTGTTGCATGCATCATGTCACTTACAAATAGTCAGTCAGTCAGATGCAACGTAGAACTTCGTACGTAAGTACGTCAGTTCATGTTGCCATACCACATCAACACAGAGATATACTTGTCAATTCAAATCCAATAGTAGAAGAGTTAGTAAGGGTATTAGAAGTAATCGGAGAGGTTAGGATTAGAGGATACTATTCAAGAGGTATGATTCAGTGAGAAAAGCTAAGAAAGTCAAAACTAGAGGTGTTGAAGAATCCAGAAGATTAGAATTAGAGAGAACAAAAAGAATAAATGCACCGGCGCCATTGCAAACGATTTTGAGCCATATCGTTCAAGGTCTATAACCATTGGTGACTATCGTCTCGCGGACCCCAACCAGGTAGTCGACAACTACCGACATGGCTCAGTCCACTTGTCAGTGACTTCATGGATTTCCGCCATGTTCTGGTCTGGCCGCCCCTAACTTTCTTCCAACCTATTCCTACACTACAAAACAAAGCTCGACGAGGCAGTCGGTGGTTGGGCATACGCAACACATGTCCCAACCACCTCAACTGATGAAGTGTCACTACTGCGTCTATTGATCTGCCATTCTTACCTAGCACCCGATTCCTAATAACAGCGTTGCTCACTCGGGTGTCCCACGATATACGAGCAATGCTTCGAAGACACCTATGATCGAGAACCAGTAACCAACGAATATCTTCTACTCTCACTGGCCATGTTTCACAGGCATAAAGTAAGACGGAGCGAACTATTGCGCAGTACACTCGTCCTTTAGTCAGCAAACGAATATCTCGCCTACGTCATAAGTGACGCAGGTTGGCAAAAGCCAATCGAGCCTTCTGTATGCGAGCTGAGATTTCGTCAGTCACCATGCCATCGGCACTGATGATGATTAGTTAATTCTATTTTATTTCGGAATTAAAATAATATTATTTTCAATAATTAATTATCAGCAGTCCTTCAAGCATGAATTTGGGCAGCTGGCTATGCTATCTACTGAAACGATTACAATAATTTTGTAAATCGCATGGAAATTTGTAAGGTTACCCCGATTTTTGATTTACAAATTGGTCGCCTGAAATGCCTTTGTTCAACGTTTGACAATTTTGAAGTATTATTATCAAATTTATTTGATACTCATCGTTTTTGGCCGCATTTTATGAGGATAAATAGTGTTTCTACGGGGGTATCATAATTTTTAGTCCAAGTGTAGGGACCGTGTGCACAATGTGTTTTTTTCGGCGAATGCAGTTCTGCTATATGATTATGAGATCTGTCCCGTTCTAGTTGAGGGAGGATATTCAGAAACTCTCTATTGCTGATTATTACTGTCTCTCAAAGATTGCTCATAACCGGTGGCAACACAACTCATATAATACTATTATTGTCAGTAATGCAAATTTGGAGACAGTAACGAGAATTTAGTTGACATCATGATTTTGAAACATGAGTGTAATTGGCTTACGCATGTTTTAGGACACTTGGTATTATTTACCAATGATGAGAGTAGATGGATAAAATAAAGAGATGGTTCGTCTATGATGTGAGGGTGTGATACTTATATAAGAGCCGTATGAGACTAGATTCTGTTTGCCCCCTCCTATGAATTCCTTGTTGGGTTGTCTGAAGAATCACAGAACTTGGTGCTTGCTTTGCAACTTTATCAGACATGGCTCAGAATATTTTAAGTCACGGCTAGAGTTTTTGATTATATTCTTCATAAAAGTACACTGAATCTTTCTAACTGGACGAAAATTATTATCCTGACTGTATTATAGGTAAACTATGTTTTTTGCATCGTACCCTCTCCCTGTTCCACTTTTGGCCTATGCTGTCACACCTTGTTTGAAGTATTTTTTCGATCTCCCAACACGAAAGGAAATATTTTTTCATCAGTTTACGTTTGTGTCAACTTTGTTTAAATTTTTTCGCTTTGCATTTTTAAATTACTTTTAATAGACGTCTGAACTATAGTGAATCTCGTGTATTTGGATCAATATTATATTGTTACTTTTGATTAGTGTACAGATGAAGAAAATCAGAGAACTGCTTCGTATTGCGGAGATAATAATGGCACCTTTATGAATCCGTTAAAGTTAAAAAATAATTTTGGAAAAACTCATAAATTTAGTGCTGGCGATGATAATGATACAACTGATGACAATGAGACTGACGAAGATGACAATTCAATAAATGATCACAATAATCAAAATGAAGATGCCGATGATTTGGTTGCAAATAGTAATTCGTTTCTTCAAAGCAGTAACGAGAATACTACAAGACGCGGATTCACTAGAAATCAACTAAGACCTGAATGGTCTCCTGGTCGTCAGCGTATTCCAGGTGCCGGTTATCATGGTCGAACTCAGAGTTCATTCAACAGCGCTAGTTTCCGAGTAAATGAAGGAAGCCTTCGATCTACAGATATGGAACAATCCCGACTAACAAAAGGATCACAGAAGGTAAGTTCAGAATGATCTAAATTGATTTTTCAACGTTAACAATAAAAGTTATGTATTTTTCTTGTCGTCACCATTCGGTTATTATTTTCGTGCTCAAGTTGTAAAAAATTGGTATTTATCTAAAAGTTTATTAGTTTGGTGTCGATTGCACTATTGAAATGTAGTCGATTCAAATTTCTAGAATACCATACATACCATTTCTTTGCTCTCAGGATTTTAAGTAATCCCAATTTGTCATTAAGTCCTGTTCCTATTCATAATCTATGTGATCTATCATTATCTATCATCAGTACATACTTTAAAATTCTTTATTTGTTTCTCGATGTGCTAATTTGAAGTATTACATTTCACATTTATACTACAATGTACATGTTCAAATGGATTCGCTTTTTTCGAAAGAAACAGACTGTCGTTATAAATTTTTTACTCGCACGGTTCTATGACTACAACCGGCTCTGCAAAAACGAAAAATACAACTCCCTAAAAATTGTACTATTTCTACACGATTGTTGATATTTAACAAAATAAGTATTTGAACCTGGATAAAGAAAGTGTACATTGTCATTGAACTGGTAGATGCTTGGAAACTCGTCCTATCTGGCTCTGAACACGACTAGGAGTGTAGGTAGCTTAAACGCAGGCTGATAAGAAGCCTACGCAACGATCGCGAACAGTGGTGGGTAGTAAAGGCAAAAGAGATAGAAAATGCAGCGTCAATAGGTAGCAGTAGACAACTATTCAGATTTGTCATTGAAACCAGTATTAGAAATCTGACTACCAGCGAAACTATCTCGGAAGAAGACAGAACTTTTATTCATTCTCATTTCAGGAGATTGGATCATTGGGCGGAACACTTTAGGGAGCAGTTCAACTGGTCTTTAACCATACTTTGGTTACCCACTATCTTCAGTCAACGTGGATGGCAAGTTGATGTGAGCACTCCAACTCGTGATGAGGTTGAAAAGGCCACCATATATAGGCAACCTACGACGAGGGAAAATAGCGGGTACTGATGGATTAACCCTTGAGATTTTTAAAGATGGTGGTTCACTCTTAGCAGTAGTTTGACTGGTACCTTAGGTAGGAAACTGTGAACTCGACTTAACCCCATCAGTTTAGTCTCAATCACTGATTGTGCCAGTCTATAAGAAAGGACAACAGTCCTCTTGTGGCAATCACACAAAGATCAGTTTAACTAATATAGTGTATGAAATGTTAGATTCAATAATACTCGGAGCGGATTCACAAAAAACAGGCTGGTTTCATGCTTGAACGTGAATGTATAGACAGATATTCTCACTTCGTCAGGTTCTAGAACAAACACATGCATTTCAACGTCTGACAGTAGTTGTATTCCGTGACTTTAGGGCAGCGTTTGATTCTGTCGATCGTGAGGTTCTCTGACAGCGTCTGTTACTGAAAGGTGTATCGCGATGTAGTACAGTAATCTTACACAGGCTCACTATACGAACATTACTGGTCGAGTGAAGGCTTATGGAGAACTGTCATCGGAATTGATTACTTCCAGTGGTGTTCTCAAGGGTTATTCACGTTCTTCATTCCTATCTAAATTTGTCATCAACATGCTTTTAAAGACGACGCTGTCATTACCTGACTATTCAGGACCCTCTACCAGAAGACTCGCTGGTTGACTTAGAATACTCCGATGTCATAGTTCTGCTTAGTGAAGATGCTGATAAAATGCAGTTCATGAAGTCATTGACAACTGGACTGAGCTATTTTAACAGACGTAGACGATCATAGCCGATGTTTAAAGACTTTGAATGGGATGGCTCAAAATCGTTTGCAATGGCACGGATGCATCCGTCCTTTGGTCTTCTCAAATTCTAATCTTCTGAATTTACTTTACTGGGATATACTGGGATATGTCAGTGAATCCTGATCTTTTCCACTACCGCTAATACTGCTACTATCTCTATTACTATGGGATTCGGATTGAAAAGTCCCTCTTTTTGTACCGATATGGTATGGCAACTTGAACCTATGTACGCACATACTAGGTTTTATGTTGCTGCTGACTAATCGACTGGTGAAAGGAGAATCATGACTATTTATAGAAAGATGGAAGTAGTACTGCTATTTATTAACACATAGAATATAATTTAAAACAAACAAATGAAACTTAGGAATAGACAAAGCTCAATAAAAAATAGGGAATAAACAAAACCGTACCAGTTCAAACTACTCTTACGTTCGGACAGGAGCTTGCATATTAAAGAGAATTTCTCTTATTTTGTAAGTTAACTAAGTACTAATTATGTTTGTTATTTGGTGCTAAGATCATTCATCTTCGGTTTTATCAGTTGATTACAACGTAATGGGTTATTGCTGGGTCAAATGAACCTCAATCATGTATCTACAAGCGACTGAGAACTGGAGGTTGATATGATAGTCCGATTTTATTTGAACGGTGGTTTATTACATTTGTATCGCAGAAAGTGAGTCTATTCCCCTGACAAAATAGTCCGATGATATATTTTGCTTTCCATTTATACTCGAAGAAAATATCTACCTTAGCTCGTTGAGATACCCAATTTACTTGAATTTGATTATCGGTGATTTAAGAGTACCATAGAGACTTACCGGAATCCCTAAGTGTTTGATTTTGCACAAAATACACGGGTCTGTAGGGAAAATTCCTTGTCTCAAGCAGTATGTATTTGAAGTGAAGGTTCGTTGGCTGGTGTGAAGGTGAACCAGGATAAACTTCAAAGAGACTAGATTAAGATGTCATATTTCGTTACAGTCTGTAATTCATAGTTTATTCTATCTAAAAGCTTTCTAATATAGGTTAACATAAGCTATGTCATATAGTATTCTACTCTTGAGTTAAATGATATCGTTGTAATAACTATAGTCTTTTCACCTATTCATTTCTGCGTTTTTTTCCCAGTAACTAACAGTATAATTTTATTTAGACTCGTTCGATATTCGACCAATTTTGTGTGCTGTTTATTATAAAGTGATCACTTTTTTTTTAAGTAACATTTGGTCTGTTACATTTTTCTATACTTAAAAAGGCACTTTGTTAACCGAAAAGCTATTTCTTGTAATTAATTATGTCAAAGAAAAAAATGTCACATAATGTTATTAGAAGACGTGAATCATAAATAATACTAATTTACCAGTCCAGTCCATTCGCCTTTTTCTCTTATTGATATCATTATTATTATTCTGTTACTTTTATCGCTAGCTAGCTAGCTAGATAAGATATTGTATAATCTAAATAAAATATCCAGTACAGTTCACTTGTTTATATTTTGTAAAATATTCTATTTAATTCAACAGGATAATTATCTAACTACCGATGTTGAGGATGAAAAGCAAGCTTATTTAAAGCATACACTTCAGCCTGAAGAGAATAATAAACATGATAATTTTTGACTGGAATGATTAGCTCTTGCTAGCAATTTGCATAATAAAAAATTTATTGCCAAAAAAAATTTCTTATTCCATTTCAAGAAATCTTTTTCTTCCGATTGAATGTTATTACTGTTGTTGTTGAAAGTACAAGTTCAGATGAATTGTAAAGTATTGTTATTTTTTTTGATATTGTTGTTTCTTTTAAGGATCGGGAATTCGGCCGATCCCGGTTATTGTATGAACTACTTATTGAATGCCTTGCTTCGTTGTTTTAACCTAGGTTTACCTATTGACTACATTTTGGTTAGTAGTAGTAGTAGTACTGTGTCAGCTGAACAAGTTGATCAGCGTTAACACTGGGATGACCGTATATCATCCACTTGGCCAATCTCAACTAGTCTGAGAAGCGTGTTGTTTAGTCCGTTGATCACTACTACTCAAAGTATGTGGACTTAATGACATCTGCGTGGAAGGAATCATATTAAATCATACAGTGCCTCAAAAGAATTAGTTTCAAACTTTTGTTATCGTTAGCCTTTTACCACATGAGATGTCTAGTTAACTGAAAAATTTCGATGATTTTATCCAAAACGAAAGGCATACGTTAAGCTTGATAAACAGTTAAACTACTAAACTGCAGTAAACTTTGGTAATTTTTCTATTCGACTCAACTTAACAATTAAATCTTCTTTTAGTGTCAGTTTCCTTCGTGAAGTTAGGTTGATATTCATAGTCATATTTGGATCAATGTGAGAATGGTGAAGTTCTTTCATGCTTTCTAACCATCGAGGCGTGTTGATAAGCAAACGTATTTAGTGAATAACTATGTCGCAGGCCGGTGTCAGCTAGAATACCAGCCGAGGACGAGTTAGCAGGGAGTTATTACTGCCCCTTCTGGGACCCCTCGGTAGTGTGTGTGTCCTTAACCAAACTGACAACCCACAGATCTTGCGTAAAGCACATTATTATTATCATCATCATTTTACATCAAAATAACCTAATTGGTTGTAAATTGGCTATATCATTACATACATTAATCATTCAGGAACTACTATTTCCTCTTTACGCACGATCTTTTTATGCTAAGCGTAAAAAAAATCCCTAATCGGGTGTAACCAACTTATAGTATTTTTCCGGAAACCGCTCAAACTTCCTAAAAGCGTAATTTCAAAGTGAATGAAATAATTTCAGTTGAAACTTGTTAGCCTTTCAATTAATAAGAATACATATAAAATAGATCGGATCGGTAGTAGTGAATCTTATTGATAAAATCTAGGCATACTTTGTAACGACGTTTAGTCGCATAACTGAGCGAATACTAAATGCGTTTATTGCAAGTATAGAAGTATGAATATATATATATATTGTAACAAATGAATTTTTTTTCTTTACAGGCATTTTTAAAAGAAAAAGACATGAAAATTTCAATATCTTTCTATCATTTCTTCTTTATTTTTAAGTAGAATTGAAAACTTGCAGTGTCACCCTACTTATTCCACTCCAGGTCATTGATATTAGCTAATAAGTGTTATTGATAATTTTGTTCCCTAACAGGAACAAGATTTTGTAAGCAATAATCAATTACAGATATCAAAGCGAATGTGTAAAGAAAAAAAAGTCTCAATCTTTTTCAAAGTGAAATATTCATGACAGTCAGCATTTAAGAATAAAAATGTAAGGTAATCTACATATTTATTATTTATGAATGAAACAAACAGAAATAGAAAGCCGAGAATGTTGTGACTTTTATGTTTATATTCTGAATGAAAAGACAAAAGGATTTCTTTATTGTGGTTTATGTGTGTGTATATTTCCTACTTCACAGTAGTAGTAGCAGTTTTTGAATTGTTCCCTTTAGTATGATTCTCCGTCTGCACTCGATAGGATGTTGCCGTAGCTAGTGGATTACAATCAGTTATACTGGTTACACCGTGTTGTGTACTACTAGCATTGTCTTCAATTCCATATGGATAATGGTATGGATTATAATAATTGTTACTGTACATGATATTTGGATTAGTTTCAAAACAATTGGAAAGATTGCTGCTATTTGTCGGATTAATTCCATCGAGAATAATGCCAGAATCCATACTTGTTCGATGCTGACAAATTTCCACATCGGAATTACACGATGTAGACAAGGCTAGCTGATAGTTCTTAATCATAGATATTGAATTCTGCATCAAGGTGATTTCCGGTTCTCTAACCGATTTTGGAAAATTGACAATTGTCGGATTCCATGGCCACGTTATTGTTATCCATCCGAGAAAATTATTGAGTGTTTTAAATATACTATATAAAGGCTCAGCCTCTGTTGGCATAATTGAAGTCGTTGCATGTTTTATATCTTTGAATAAAACAGGCACCAGCATATTATTCCATAAATCAAGAAACCAGTACAATGACAGCTGTGAATGCATTGGACATGTAAGAAATGTTCGTATACCGAAAATAGTGAAGTGACTGGATTGTATGAACAAGTAAGGAATTTCATTCAGCTGATTCCAAAATTCCATTAGCCATGAAATCAACTGATTCAAATTTCTATCTTCAATTTGTGTGATAAATTTATCCAAAGAATCTTTATCCTCTTTAAGTCCGTGCAATGCATAAAATCCATTGAATAAGCGATGTTGAATTAATTTACGGTTTAGGCTCCTTTCTAAGTATCCACTTGCATCATTCATATCAGATAAATGATTTATAACTCTGTCAATTGGATTAAAAGGTAATTGTTTGATTATCATTACAGAAAAGCTTAGGTTACACATATTCGCAAATGGTATACTTTTTAAGAATTTGAAGTAATTAACTTCCAGTAACAACGAATATATAACACAAACGATTATGTTTTTAAGACAGAAATCACTGTTGAACATACTGTATTAATGATGAGGTTATTAACAAAGAATAGGTTTTTAAAAAAAATCTGAAATGAGTGTCTCATATCGTCCGTAAAATTTCGAGTTCTTAGTGTACAAGCGTCTAATGTAATAAATAGAAAAGTCGTGTCTGCATAGTTATTTTGGATAAGAGTTAGTGATAAACTATAGGTACAAATATCTGATTTCTCGCAAGTACGGAACATCAAAGGAAGAGATGCATAACTTAGTGTAAGTTTTCAAAGTGTATGTTTGTAGGGGTACACAACATCGAAGTATGGTAAGGAAGAATTTACCGTGTCATGGCATTGCATTTATTCTTGGGCAGAGTTTTGGAGGTTTTGTGTTTTTACACATTTGAAATCATCAACCAATCATTATTAGACCACCATTAGAAACCTGGAAGCGCTGGACGGCCGTTTCGTCCTAGTATGAAACTCATCAGTAGTGCGCATCCACGACTCCTGCTCCTCGCAGGATTCGAACCCGGGACCTTCAGTATCGCCTAACCATCGGACCGCTGGGCTGGTATCCAACGTTGTTCGATTGATTGTTCGCACACAATACCGAGGGTCCCGGGTTCGAATCCTGCGAGGAGCAGGAGTCGTGGATGCGCACCGCTGATGAGTCCCATACCAGGACGAAACGGCTGTCCAGTGCTTCCAGGTTTCTAATGGTGGTCTAATAATGATTGGTTGATGATCGCATTTATCCCAGGATCAGGGAAATACTTACTCAGTATGATGCAAATTATGTTTGGAAACTCGATTAATAAGGAGTCGCTACTTTTTATTTGGATAAATAGCATGAATGAAACCGCGTTACGAGTGATAAGAGGAGTTTAAGCGGGTACAGGGGAATAAATCGCTATGTACATTGTTTCCAAATCATTGTCCATTAAAGTTGTCTAGCCGAATAGCTGATAAGAACACATCATATTGCGTTTACTAGTTTACTTGTGTTTTAAATTGCTAAGAGTGAACTTACCGTGCAAGTGTAGGTGGTGTTAAAACAAACGCTTATCGGGCAATTATTTTCCGAAATTTCGATAATACCAATTATCAGCAGACTATCTTATTTTATCACTAAACATACAGGAGGAGACTTTCGTAGAATGGGCTTCTGAAGATTTGTTAAACATTTGCGTTGAAATTCTATGCAGTGGATACTTGAATCCACAGAAATTCTGCCTGAATATGAATTTCAATCAGACTAATGATGTAAAGATGTTTGTTTTAGTGTATAACTCAATTTGACAATCATCAGTTCATCTTTAGACATACCAAAACCTAATTTCCTTATCAATTCTTATTTGCTTTGATTTATTCGATAGCAATCTATTTAGTTGCGATTCTTTTCACATAAAATGTCTCGATGATTCACTGTAAGCTGGAACTATTCGAAGCATTTCTGGATTAGTTTTGCTTCATTTTAGGGATGAGAACGAGACATGGCTAGCTGAGTGTTCGGTACTAAAGTATGACATTTATTTTCCCTGTATTACATAGATTATAAATTTGGTAGACTCACTTTATCTGATTATTGATCAAAAGATTTTCAAGTTCCGTGTTACCAGTTCCACTAGTTCCTATAATCTTTGGACTGAAAGGAATGAAAATGAAGTGTAAACTAGATTTGTTTGTAATGTATAGTGAAATAAGCTAAATTTTGATTGTGTCTATATATATACCTTGACCCTTCGGTAACGATTGATCCAACACTTGAAGCAACTGAATAAATAGTAGAAATGTAGGCAAGGAAAATTGATAAATACTAATTAAGATAACAAAGAAGGAAGTTGGTATTGAGTTCTTTGAGCTGTGGATATCTTAGCAGCTGCATAGTTTTCATCGGAGTCCTGGGCAACAAGCATCTATTTTCAGTATATCTTGTGTAAAAATAGAACTCATTACTTACGTGCTGAGTTGTTTTCAACAAACTTGAGATTTTTCATGCTTGTACTATTGTTTTTAAACCGATTGTTGCGGTCAGTAGTAGTAGGTGTATACTTTTATAATATATTTATAACTCACTGATTATATATAGATTTATCTCAAGTTTACAACATGACTATGAAAAGAAATCTAGTCGATATAGTGACCTAAAATTCTCTGCACTGAATGATTTTGTGTAATAAGTGGAAATCGTCGATGTTTCCGATGAGCTGGAAAAATTGTTGTTCTTCATAGTTGAAAACTTGCTTGACCTAGAATCTATTTGTTTACATATCTGATGAAGCCCAACCTTCACTCAGATATTTTCGAAAAACTAAAGATTGCAAAGAAAGCCAAGTCTTGATGGAACTTATTGGTTGTAGATAAAGTAGTAAAAATAAAAGCTCAGAACAGTGAAGTTTTATTGATTGATCAGTCAAAATCAACTTTGGAACCAGTTGAAATGATGGAACTTTGGGTGACTGTTTCGTTCCAGTTTATTATTTCACAGAATCAGATCAATAATCTTTAAGTTTTATTCTGAGTACACAAATGTTAGACTACTACAAAGTAATCCCTAAATCTGTATTTGAATATCCTGTGTAGCTTTAGTTTTGTTTGGTATTCCCTGATTTCTACAGGTTTTTATTCTATATATATATATATATATATATATATATATATATATATATATATATATATATATATATATATATATATAATTTATCTGCTTAAATCAGCACTTCTTCGATTTCGATTTTACATGCCGGTGTAAACAAACAAACACTGTTTTACCCATAAATATCTTCTAATGCGTTATATATTTTTGTTCAGTGTTTATGCTTTAATGGAAACAGTTTATTTAACCATAGAGTTGACAAGATTTACTGCGAACTTATTAGCTACAACAACCTTGATAGGAAGGAGAATATTGGTTTATGAAGACAACCACTTGAAGAAATGGTGTAAGTTATGACATTTACACTTGATCAACTGTACGCCTAATTCACTTGTCAGTAAATATAAACGTTTACTAATTTGATTTTATTCCAATTAGGAATATTGCGTAAAGGAATATTTCAGTTCTGATTCATTCACACTATAGTACGTATAGACAGACATATAAAACCAAATTAATTTACTGGATAGTTAATAAAAGTTTACTAGCTAAATTTTAAAGAGAATCAAGCATTACTTACCAATCCGATGAACATTTCAATACATTGAGTAAGTCAGACAGTGATCCTTGAAAATAATGAATATTGAATAAGTTGATCACTTCAGGGTAACCATTTTCCGCGTACGAATTCAACTGTTGATCTATGCTATTCATCAATTCTCTATCAGTTGTACTGCCATCGTGTTTAAACCAAAAGTTGTACACTGCATTCACGCTATATGGACTGAAAATGTATGTAACATGTCCGAACATAAAAATTACATACATACACACAATGTAAAAATCCTTAGCATAATTAATCAAAATTAAAATTCAAGAAATAAATCATTCAGGTGAAAGAAAAATTTGTACGATTTTTCCTACTTCTTCTACATCATACACAATTCACTGCACTTACAAAATGCTTGATACAATTGCGGAAATAAGAAATTGTTTTGTGCAAAATAAGATTAATGTAAACTTTGCTAATAACTGACAGTATTTGTTTGATTAATACACTCATAACTTACCAATAGGTTTTTTTAAATAATAATAGTAAAATAGTACTGATCTAGTATCATTAATATCACATGTCAAAATCATCAGAGTAGAGAGCATGATGTGTCTAGGGTAAAGCAATGCTTGCTTATCTGACAACCAGGGCTGTTAATGTTGATCAGTTATCAACAAAGCAATGCTAAACGGATAGCAAATAGGATATGACTAACCAACCGAGTGACTACATTCATTTTTCAGTGGCTTTTACGTATATAAAGAGTATTTAACATTTTATTTAATTTTACTAAGATTACTGAACAAATGTTATATTATATCTTATGCATTTTAAGAGGATATATATGTATATACATATGCTGAAGTAATGGGTATTAGGATTTATCGAAACATAATAGTATAACTTCATTGTAATAGTGAGGTTGGGAATGTAATTTATCGGACATCAACTCTTTGATCTACGAGTTGAGCACTGACGGTAAAATCTAAAGATTTAGGGATTAATTCTTGTTAAGAAAATAGGAGCGCAGTAGTGATTATCCCAGTACATCAATAAAATGCCTGTCCAATTCTCACAGTTTTTCATTGAATGTATCGTTGAAGTTAATTTGTGATGTGAGCTACCATATTACTTATAGTGGTAGCTTAGTGTATTTGATCATTGTCATTACGTATGTATGTACAAAGAAGTGACATGATGATATAATACTCCATTGAATTAAAACCATTTGTTCGTCCATGAAACTATTTTAAACTGTGATTTCACATGACTGCGATTAAAAAAAATTTTGTGAAGCTTTTTAAAATTATTTTTTCACCTTAATCTTAACTTGGTCGATACTTGGAAATCTCTGTGGAATATTTTTTCATCAAAACAATGACACATGTGAACCGTCTCGTTCTTTGGATGTGATGCTATTTCGATTTCCTTCTCAATTCCAGTATGCAAACGAAGCACCTCCAATGTTGCTTAGAAGCGGTCCGCCAGTGATGTGATTTCTTTCTCATCAGATAAAGATAAATGATCTCTATGACAATTGTTTCTTTCTCAGTCTATTCAGCCTTCAGTTTCATTCAGCGGCTATGCATCAATATACCTCTGTTATTTGATAATTTAGCTCATCACTGATATTCTTCTTCTGTTTTTGACTTTTAAGGAGATTTCACTGAATTAGGCTCTGACATGCCTTTTAGTCTTGAATAACTATAAAACCCTTTCGATTTCATGCGTTTTACCTATTCATCTTTTACAACTGGTCTTAAATTGTTACGCCTGCACGTAAACACGTCAACTGGATATGCTTGAACTATAACGAGTTTACCTAGTCGGAAAACGAGAGCAAGGATTGAGGACCCGGCGACATGACATGCTACTCAAATCCGATTATCCCAACTCCCATATTGAGTAAAAGAAGACAAGACTTGATATGAAGTAGAACCTGTATTCTACAAGCACCCAGAAAGTACGAGGTCCGAGTCCAGAAGAGAATCAGGATCCTGGACCGGGTCCTGGTCATAAAACGTTACAGATAATGCGTATTTATACATTTTGGTCGAATGAGAAACAGCATCGAAGTCTGTGACATTGACAGTTAAGACGACCAGTAAGAAACAACATTGGAGCACGTGACATTGATATCTAGGACGACCATAAATTGGGCAGTAAGAATTAACCAATAGGTATTGGCCAATAATCCTCTTAGGATATTGGATGAATATCCTAACAAATAAACCTAGACCCTACCACCTTATCAAATAAGAGTTTCCTGTCTGTACATCTGCCGCTCTCCATTGATATGCGATTATGCTTAAATAGAATAGCCTTCGAGATCAGTATTCATATCCAGTAATAGGGCAGCTCCAATTAATAAGAAAAAAAGCAGTAATCACATTTCACACAGTCAACTAACTTTTTAACTAACAACTTAGTTAAGTCATGAACTAGATGTGACTTTCCAGTTCCGCTTGCACCATGTATTATCACAACTGAATTTTCTTGAATGATAGATAAATAGGAATTCAACGTGATCAGCGGCAGGAGACTTCCAAAGCAAACGTATTTTAACATGTTCTGGTTGACGAACACCTGTTGTTGTTGTTGATTTGATGATTTTTGATCTTTTTCTAATGGAAATTTCATTGTAGAACCTTTTAAATGAATTTGTATTGATAATGTGTAATGTTTAGCGTTATGCTTATTGATCATGTCGTTTACCCAACTAGTTGGTGATTGTGCATAAATCTGTTCATCAGTGGTGTATGGTGTAGGTAATAATAACACTGTACAAGAAATCTGTGATGCGCTTTCACCTGATGATGAAAATGATGATGCAGCCGAAGTAAAGGATCGTACAATACTGTGTGTTTTAATTTCACCTTGTTCAGTGAATGTAAAACTTAATTGGTAGGCTTGTAATCCAGGTGTTTCATCCAACTGTAGCTGATTATTAGGATCCAAGAAATTAATGTAGTACTGTAGATGAACAAAAACATTGAATACAACTGTATTATGAGCAATATGTGAGACAATAATGATTATTTATTTATTGTCTCTCTAGCGAAATTAACAAATATGTAGAAAGATAATTATGTGTTGCTTCTCTAAGTAATGAAATCTGTGGGAATGGCTCGCACAAATTTCCACAGGCCTAAGAGTTTCTGTCTAATCACTGTCCGGTGGAATTTTCAGAATATCGATGTGGCATAAGGTGATTGGATAATTGTAACATTACTTACTGTCTGCAGATTGGATGATTATTATGATGTTTTCAGTCTATGTGAAAAATTATGTACAAACATGATTCCTATGTACACTTCGAAACTTACCCCGGAGAAAAGATTTCATCTGTTTTCTTCTGGCTTTTGATTGGTAACCTGGAGGGAGGGGCTGGTTATACTTGTTCTAATGTCTAAGGTTGCATTCTACAATAGATAGCCGTATTAAGTAGACGATTTAAGCAAACCTAACTCATAGTAGGGGAACCAATTGAAACAATTAATTTCATTAGGTAAGAAAAATGTTTTGGTTTTCATTTTTTTGTGTGCACGATCCTTGGAAAATGAGGTGAAATTCAAACCGGATCTCTAGTAAGGTTTTATAAAGCTTCAGTTAGATTATGTAAACATAACTTGTACAGATTTTCATACAGCCCAGTCTCTATCACAAATCCAGCAATTATTTTCAAAGGAGTTTCCTTATCTCTATGGTTACTTAAGGCACGCAGTGAACATTTGAGGGATTTCAGAATAATAATAATAATAATGAAGTATTTCCCAGTAAACTTTTGGACGTCTGGCTTTTTAATTCACCGATTTTATTGAATAAATGTACTGCTTTTACCTTTCTTCACTGACCAAAATTAGAAGGAAAATTACTGTCCTGGTTCTTAGTGGTTTACAACAAGTCAAGAATGCAAGCGACTTGAAGGTTCTGGGTTTAACTTTGTACAGAGTCTTCAGTGGACACTGCTGAGAAGTACAAGAGGCACTTAAAAAAATTGTTTGGTAATTATGAAAATCACATACAAAACGAACAAAAGCACTAAAAAGTAAAAGTTATATTGGCTGTCATTCCAGTTTACTCTTTAACCTAACCCGTTCTGTGTAGGGAACTTCAAGTGATTAAGATTTCTCCGATATGTATAGTATCTATGACTATTGGTCAGAATGCTTTAGCAGCCTATCTCACAAGAAGTCTGAGTTGCAATACGAGTGTCCTATACATCCTTCTTAGGAGTTTTTCTATCGTTTTGTCAAGGATTTGTAGCATACTTTCCCTAAATTCTAGTTTTTTGTGAGGATGACAACAATGAACAGTAGAAACTACTAATCAAACTAAACAAGAATCCAAATCAAACCCTTCCTTTCATCTTGCTATTTATCGCTATTTTGATTCACTGTCTGTTGAGATTTTTTTCGGTTTTTTTTTAAATCTATTGAATAAAAGCAGTAAACAAATAAACAAGACATACTAATGCAATTTGATGAATTATTGATTCTTTTATTTGTTAAGGTTAAAAGGCGACGTTCATTTTTGTGAAATATTTTTGCTTATATATCTATCTATCTATCACAGCAGGTGGTAGACCATAACAACAAACGCAACTGCAACATCAACAGTTAATTTTTCAACACTAATGCAGAAAGTGAAGTAATAATGTCCTCTTTGAAATCTAAAGTGATTTTTGAGTTGTTCTATACCCCTAATGATGGTAGACTAAAATTAAAACACAGACAGTATGTTGAATTAGTTTGCTGGCATTTTCATTCTTTAACAGATAATCAATCAGAAAGTCAAGTACATCTGTATGCATATTTTGTAACAGTAGTTGTCCTTACATAATTCAGATATATGGATTTGAGGGGCTAAACCAATTAGGAATAGATTTTCTGGCAAGCTATTTATTCTTAAAGAAAAGGTACACTAAATTAAAAAAAAAACGGAGTCAGTTCAGAGTAATAAGTAGAGATTTTGGAATATTTTTGCTAGTTATTTATAGCTACTTAACGGATGCGTGCAAACACTGTCAAGTGATGTGAGGTCTCTGACTGTAGGTCTAAGTGTTTTAAGTTCATATTTTTACAGGACAGTCCTTTGCAAATGTTTCTCTTGGATACGTGTCAACTACTGTGTTTTTTTAGCTCCATGAGTTTCTGTCAGTCATTTGGAAGTGTGAGGATTACTCTACAGGAAGACATGAACAAGTATTTATCTGAACTATCGACCACTACGACTCGGTATTGTCTAAATTAAAAGTCAAACCACTTTCTTTGACATGTGTCACCGAATACCTATCAACACTGAAAGGCTGTTTTAATTAGGAGAAGATACTAATTAACAACATTTGAATCTTAAGTAGTCAAGGTTTTAAATCCTACACAAAGTGAAAATTTATTGTGTGTTGGATTTTGTACTGACAAAACAAATTATGTCTACTATTATGCAGGCTCACGCAAGTAAATGAAAATGGATTATTCTGTCATTATTTTCAAGCCCTTCTCACTGAATATCAATTCATTCGAATCTGAGTACCATCAAAAATAAATACCGGAAGATCCAGAGTACAGGATACTCCCTCCAACTTTTTGTTTCTTATTCAATATGTTACAGTAGATATTACTAGATTACGGACTGTAATTAAGGCAAATCTATGATAAATCAATGTCAGTAATATATTATAGCTCTTTTGAATTTCGTAAACCGAACTGTCAGTGATATTTAACTTTTTTGAAAATTGTTAATACTACACTGTCAATTTAAAGTAAAATATTCTGAATAGTCCCGAAATCGACACTTTTATTGATTTCATGTAAGTATCAATATTCCAAAGTATCATAGTGCATTACTTTTCCTTCATAGTACTACTGGCTGGTGACTTTTAAACCATACACATATTCAATATCCAAGTTAAACAGAAATAAATTACGAAAGAGTAAATTTACAATTAATTGATGTGAGGCTGTTTACGCAGTTAATTTTATTTTAGTTTCATAAACAATAAAACAAAGATACCTGAAGTAACTTTTGAAGTCGTTCATCTAATTCTTGCCAGGACATTTCATCCAGCAATCCGGTCCAACCAATCTTAAATGATCGGATACAGTTTAATGGTGTATCTGTAGAGTTAGCGTTAGTAACTGATTGATTACCACATTGACTCATGTTTGGAGTTTTATTTAAATTTCTTTGATATACACTCTCAGTATGAACAAATACTTGGACAAATTGACTTGAACTTTGACAATATTGAGTTGATAAATCTATAAAACCGAAAAACTTGATCAATTAGTGATGATACATTTTATTTCATTAAAATCTTGAATCAGTCATTATTAGACCACCATTAGAAACCTGGAAGCACCGGACGGCCGATTTATCCTGGTATGGGGCTGCTCGGCAGTGCGCCATCCAGAGCATACTTACGGGATAGCAAACCCACGACCTTTCTACTTTCGTACGTGGACGACTGAACTTTAGACCATCGAGCCGACATTCAACGTTGTCAACGTACTTAACTTTGTGATCAATCTATAGGTTCGCTTCACCCAACCTCGAAATTTAATTTTTGAACTGCATACTTTAC